CATTACTCCTTGATGATGTGTGTGTTGGATCCTAGCCTCAAGAGGACTAGGAGCTTGATTAGTCTTAGATAGGTTGTACACTCATTGGGAGGCTCTAGGTTGGGATGATAACCCCTCCTCCCATCTGTCATGATGCTGCCTCAGGACGGGAGAGTCCGTAACCAAAGGACAGCAAGTCAGGGAGAAGGTAAACAATTTTACAGCAGGTTTAATGGTTTACATTTTGTATTAGAGCTATTTCCCCCCAAGTTACCTTGGGCAGCTCTAGACTCCTCCACCTCCCCATTTAGCCTGAGAACAACTACCTTGCAAGGTAGTCTCATGGCCAAGTGGGGACTTGAATTCAGCTGTCTAACCATCAGGCCGCATTGATTCCTTAATTTCTGTACCACGTTCTCTGCCTGGCAACTGCTCTTGAGGAGAAGGGACATTTTAATCCCTTGATGTAGGCCTTCCTTCACTGGAGAGCCCAGCAATTGAACCCAGACCATTCCATGTGCAAACCAGGGGCTGTAGCACTGGGGTATGGCCCATCCTTCAGCCATGGTGTCTGACTAGGGCCAAAGACAAAGCAGCACCAATGCAGAATCCTAAAATTCCACACACAGAATCCACACACAGATTCTGTAGCAGGCCACCATTTCCTTGGACTTGCAGACTAGAGCTTTTAAAACATTTTATGCAACTTCATACCATTTTAGGCATGGAATAATATGATGAAACACCTACCAAAAAGGCAAATATCCCCAACAGCACAAAAATGCACATTTTTGGCAGGTTTGCACATTTGGGGAGGATTCCACATTTTCAGGAGTGCAAAATTGTGCAGTCCTGAATTTGTGCAAATACTTTGAGAATATTTGCAGAAAATTCAATTCTGTCAGTAAGTAGACTGAATGGAAGGTGCCTGGCAACCTGCAAAATCCAGCTGGGACGGATTTTGCACATATTTGTACATGCCTCTTGGCAATTGCCTCTGCGCATCAAGTGGGGAGAAGGCAGCTTGTGAAGATAGAAGCAATGCGGGGGGGCGGGGTATAGAAAAAGTAGCAAGTGCCAATGTTTTACTCCCACCCTATGCATGTTGGAAATGTAGATTTCCTTCTTCAGGGAATGCAGAGATGCCAGGAACTGAAAATGGCACCATTTGTATGCAAAGCCAGGGACTCTGCCTAGAGCTACAGGCCTTCTGCCAAACAAAGGGAGGTGTTTGTCCTCCTGCTTCAGGGTAAATGCAGGATCTCAGCTGAGCTGGAGTGTCAGAAACTGCCTCCGCAGGACCTTGGGGGGTTTGGCGCAGCTGGTTAGCCACAAAGAGAACCGTGCTGGGTTAGTTGTTCACCGTGGCTTGTGAGCCTGGCTGCACTTGACTAACACAACCCTCATTTCAGCCACAAGCCATGGCTCAACAGCCTCCACGCAACCCTTGAGGGTTGGTTTTTCATGTCGTCTCAACCGGGAATGTGAGGAGCGGGCCAGAATCCAGCTCTCTTGTGCATGCTGGACTGCTTTCTCATGCTTGGCCTGGCTGCACAGGCAGCTTAGCCAAGGTCAGACTCACAAACTTTTGTGGCATCTCCACACAAATGTGACGCCTGCAAGTCAGGAGTGCAGAAGCAGAACTCAGCTTGCACAGCGGGCGCATGGCAACGTGTGTGCAAGCCAGTCTTGCAGGCTCCCTGAGGCTCCTGCAAGATGGGCGCCCACACAAATGTTTGGCACAAGGGAACTCAGGGCAGGAAGAAAGCAGGCCGGATTCTGAGGAGCCGAAGCAAGGCAATCTGACAGAGTCCGTCCCCAAACCAGAGTCTTCCCACATCACTAATCTGGACTAAGGCTGGGGTGAAATCCATTGGAATCTGTCCGGCCAGCAGTTGCAGTTCACCTCTCAGGCGTGGCCAGTCTTGAAGGGCGAGCAAGCCGGGAGGAAGTCCGCAACGCTCGCGCGATGACACTCGCCAAACCAGCAGCTTGCTTTGTATCAGGTGCCACAGAGGCATGGAGCGCCGTTCCTGGCAGGCCCTGTGCGGACAGCCCCCTTCTGCGTCGGGAGTGGCAGCACAATGAATGGCTGCCAGATGGGGCTGGAGGAGGGAGCCACTTGTGCAGAGCGGGGGCCCAGTTCCCGGAACCTGGACTCGGGGCCCTGGCAGAGGAGCCCATCAGACCCCCAGCCCCGTGTGAGCCCTTCACACCCCTCATCCGGACTCGGCCCCTGAGCCATACCCTGCCTTGTCGGTGCAGCAGCGGCTCTCCGGCATCCCTGACAAGAGCCTTCCTTCCCCTTCCCAGAGACCACTGAGGATGGCTGTGGCAGTGGCCACATGCAGAGCTCCTCATTTCTGATGGCAGAAGCACCACCCCCTGCTGGCGAGACAAGGGAGAATAACGCCCGCCAGTTTGATGGGGCTGCCTTCCTGTGGGAGGCTTCTGCTCCTCTGTCCCGTTCCTTTGCTGTTCCAGGGTGGACCCTTTCCTGTTTTCCCTTTCCCCTTCAGTTCTGCTTAAACTTGGAGAATCTTCCAAATTCCAGGACAAGAACATGTGCCTCCTACCACAGCTTTCCGGTCTGTTGTTTTCTTTCCCTCTCTGTGCCACACTCTATGCACTTGCATGTGTTGATAAAACGTTGCTGAACACATAAGTGGTCACACACATGCACACACAAAGCCCTCCTGAGGTCCTCAGGCTTTTGATTGCAGCAGGTTCCTTTCTGGCAGGGCCCTCAGCTGATGCGCATGTGTTGCTGCGCACTGGCAAGACACTGCTTGAAAGGTATCTCAGGAGAACTGTACATGCCATGAACTCCAGCCTCCTGAGCCAAGGCATCGCCATCATGAGAAAACCACCTCGAGGAAAGAGCACAGGTGCCCCGATCCGGAGGGCATCTTCTTTTGCAGGGCATCTACAATGGACAGGAAGATGCTTGGGCACCGGTGTCCCACCTGGGGGCTTCCCTTTGGGGCCTCTGGTGTGCTAGGGAGACCGTGGGTTTCTCCAGCACCAGGCTGCTGATGTTCTCACACCTGTTTTCTTTCTTTATTATGCTTCCACACTGCTGAAATTCTAAGTGGATATACACGTGTGCACGTAGGTGGTGATGAGATGTGGCAGGAGCGTGCAGCACTGCAGAGAATTTGGAATGCCCTGCTCGATTCCCAGTGCCTTCATTTCAGGGCATCCTAGTGTGGGGGTGGGGTGGGGGCTGTTGCGTGTTCTGCCCAGCCTTCTGCTCGATGCAGGACGATCCAAGGTCTGTGCGCAACCAAAAGACAGCCCCCCAGACATCCCCCGAAGGCCATTTGTTTCACTGCCAAACCGCTCTAACTCATTCTCCTAGGCCAGGGGTTGGCAACCTTTAACACTCAAAGAGCCATTTGGACCCATTTCCCACACAGAAGAAAACACCGGGAGTCACAAAACCCTTTTGACATCTCAAATGAAGATAACACTGCATAGATCTTTTTTTTACCTTAATGCTACGTATATCTTACTTATGATTTAGCTGCAGCTCTTGTTCAGTCACTAAAAACTGTTATTTTTAATCTTACATTATAAACTAGGAGGACTCCTTTCATATAGTTTGAATAGGAGAACAGCTTCCTGCAGAGTCAAAGTCAGTGCTAAAGGGCTGCATGCATTAAACAGCAAACCCCATAAGTTCGTCAGCAGTAAAAGCAAATGAATCTACTCACGTATCATTAAATCTTTGGTTTTCCTCAGAAACCTTTCTTTGTAGGTGGCCCTGGTCCGCAGATCAGCTGTCCTGGAGATATAGGTGTGTTTAGTGTGACTGATTAGCAGGTAAACAGTCAAGTGCTGTGAATTGTGACAGGTCCCAAGCACAGCAGCTTTTAACATTCAGAGGAAGGAGATGACATTGGGACAAAGAGAATGCTTTGGGCAGCCTTTCCTGTAACATGAGAGCCTGCAGGAAGCTTGTGTAGCAAAGGAATGTAGCAATTTACTTAACTAGCTGATTTACTTAACTAGCTAGTTCCTGAGTGGAGTTTCTAGCAGATCAGCGGCTGTGCCGGCGCATGTTTTGAGCGACGGAGCCGCAGCAGAGGGGTTCAAGAGCCATGTGCGGCTCCGGAGCCGCAGGTTGCCAACCCCTGGCCTAGACGTTGTTGCTGATCCAAAATCTGCTCTCCTGCAATGTAGCCCATTCGGATCCTGTCCTGACCACATGGGGCAGCAGAGAGCAAGACTCCACCTCTGCCTCTACCTTGGGTCAAGGTTGGTGAGGGGCGCTTGCCGGGGGCACCTGGACTTGCTGCGCTCGCCCCCATTGCAAGGTGCTCATTCACGTACCTCTTGCTCCAACACAGGGAGAGGGTGAGCAGGACTGCGGATGCCATGGCTCGCTTGTCCCCGGGCTGCTTGTCTAGCGAGCAGGTGGGGAAATGATGGAAAGGGGGCAGGTTATGACAGCAGAGACAAGGGGATGCCCGAGAGAGTGTACTGATGACCTTTATCGACTGATTAGGCTGGCGCAGCGTGACGCTGAAGATCTGCCCTCTGAGACCAGCTTTCCCTGGTTCAACACACTGTTTTGATCTTGGAGGTTCAGACTGCACACTCCTTCCCCTTAGTTTCTTAGGCAAGCATCATTGGCTCAGCCTCATGGAAACAAGGGCTTTGTCACCAGCCAGGCACACCCCAGTCCTTGCTCTGCCTGCCGCTGCCCTCACACTTCCTCTAAGTTCCAAATGTGCTCACTGGCCCAAGACGGTTGGGACCCTTTTCGATCTATGACACCAAATCCACACTGAATTAAGAACTGCAAAAGCATGGGGAGAAACGAGAATTTCAGAAGCACCCCAGACTGGTTGGGGCAGGGGAGACAAGCCATAGCAAACAGCTTTCAATGTGGTAACCCCAACCCTGTTATTCCCCCCTGCCCACATTTGCTTCCCAGCCCAGGAAAAGGCATTTTGCTTTGGCACTGCCAGGCTGCAGGAGACCCTCCCCTCGAACGGCTCTTTCCGCGGCCTGCAATGGCAGCTCTCCGGCTCGCCCGACTCTTCCTGGCGTGCACCCTGCTCACCTCCTACCAGGACTTTGCCTCCGGCCAGCAGGACAGAGACCTCCCAGCGGATCGCTTTGCAAGCTACGAGAACAAACAGTCTGCCGGCCGGGTGAGACGGCGAGGCCACGATACTTTGCGAGGGTAAGCCCTCCGCTGTTCTTTCCTGACATCCGCCTGAAAATGGGTTTGTGGGATCCTGCCTGGGATTGGTTGCCACGTGTGCGTGCACAGCTCCTGTTTCTGGCTCCAGGTTCTGGGGGCTCCCTCTCTGTGTCTCCCCGCTGTGGCCACCCTTGCTGTTCCCAGGGGACACTTGCCAGAGTTGCTGGCCCCTCAGCGGGGGTCTGGCCTCCCCCTGAGGCTGGCGTGAGCGCTACTCGAGATCGCTAGTGATAACCCTTCCTGGAACAGCTGTCTCAAAACTGGAGGCTTCCAAGTGGTTTGAATTCCATTTCCCACCAGCCGCAGTTGGCGTGGCCAGTCCTGGAAGCTGTGGACTCCCGCACAGTGGTGGGCATTGGGAAAGACACTGCAAAGATGCTGGCAGGGCAGAAAGAACATGTAGGTTCAATAGGCCAGTGCTTTGATTCAGTGTACGTCAGCGCCTTATATCCCTTTTTTAGTCTCCCCTTGATTAAGAACCATGAGGACTGGAACCTTGCATTGTTCTTATGTTACATTTCCATCCCCCATTTTTTCATTTTGCAAAGACACCAGGGTGTCCTACATACTCCTTTGTTTTATCAATGCAAGAGCCCTGTGGGGTAGGCTTGCCCAAGGTCCCCTGCTGAGCTTCATGGCCAGTGAGGACTAGAAGCTGGGACGGTTCATCCTTGCATGTTTGCCATCATCACAGGACAGATCGGCATCAACGTTCCATGGACAGCAATGCCCTGCCCATCACATATGAAAGAGCATTAATTTGCCACTCACTTTGACAAATAAGTGTTCCCAAGCCTGTTTTGGCAAAAGGTAACTGGAGGAAATGTTGCCACATTCTCCAGTAAAGTGCTGGCCACTTTATGGCTGCGGTTTCGAGCACAGATGTGCGCAGAATCTGTCTGGGAGTGGGAATCCGGCAGATTCCCCAGGCTCGGCTCCCTGCACTCCAGCCCACTTTGCCGTGGCCCTGAGTCTGAGTTCTGGCAAACCGTGCACTGTGTTAGCAGGGCCCGGGCCATGTATCAAGCCCCACAGAGAATGGTTCTCCAGGAACAGCGGCTGGCGTGCCCAGCCTCGGCGACCCTCTGTTGTGTCTTGCAGCCCTTCCTGAGGAGGAAAGTTGCCAGTAGCACAACTGGGGGTATGCGAGAGTCTGCAGCCCCTCCTCTTGGCTCTGCTCACTTTGCCGGACAAGGCTGGGCATGGGAGAAAGTTCATGGATGCTGCAGAGATGGACAGGGAGAAGGCTCATCCCAGCCTGAATCTCGAGCATATTTGTTATTGCTAGTCGTGAAGTCGTGTCCGACCCATCGCGACCCCATGGACAACATTCCTCCAGGCCTTCCTGTCCTCCACCATCCCCCAGAGTCCACTTAAGCTCACACCAACTGCTTCAGTGACCCCATCCAGCCACCTCATCCTCTGCCATCCCCTTCTTTCTTTGCTGTCAATTGTTCCCAGCATCAGGGTCCTCTCCAGTGAGTCCTTCCTTCTCATTAGGTGGCCAAAGTATTTGAGTTTCATCTTCAGTATCTGGCCTTGTAAAGAGCAGTCAGGGTTGATCTCCTCTAGGACTGACCAGTTTGATCGCCTTGCGGTCCAAGGGACTCGCAGGAGTCTCCTCCAGCACCACAATCCAAAGGCCTCAATCCTTTGGCGCTCAGCCTTCCTTATGGTCCAGCTTTCACAGCCATACATTGCAACTGGGAAAACCATAGCCTTGACTATACACACTTTTGTTGGCAGTATGATGTCTCTGCTTTTTAGTATGTTGTCTAGATTTGCCACAGCTTTCCTCCCCAGGAGCAAGCATCTTTTAATTTCTTGGCTGCAGTCCCCATCTGCGGTGATCTTGGAGCCCAGGAAAATAAAATCTGTCACTACCTCCATTTCTTCCCCATCTATTTGCCAGGAAGTGAGAGGACCGGATGCCATTATCTTAGTTTTCTTAATGTTGAGTTTCAAGCCAACTTTTGCGCTCTCCTCCTTTGCCCGTATCAATTGGCTCCTTGGTTCCTCTTCACTTTCTGCCATGAGAGCGGTATCATCTGCATGGTTGTTATTTCTCCTGGCAATCTTAATTCCAGCCTGTGATTCATCTAGCCCTACCTTTCTCATGATGTGCTCTGCATATAAGTTAAATAGGCAGGGTGACAATATACAGCCTTGCCCAACTCCTTTCTCAATTTTGAGCCAATCAGTGGTTCTGTGTCCAGTTCTCACTGTTGCTTCTTGACCCGCATACAGGTTTCTCAAGAGACACATAAGATGGTCTGGTACTCCCATCTCTTTAAGGACTTGCCACAATTTGTTGTGATCCACACAATCAAAGGCTTTAGCATAGTCAATGAAGCAGATGTTTTTCCGGAACTCTCTAGCTTTCTCCATGATCCAGCATATGTTGGCAATTTGATCTCTAGTTCCTCTGCCTCTTCGAAATCCTGCCTGTACTTCTGGTAGTTCTCGGCCCACATACTGCTGGAGCCTAGCTTGTAGGATTTGGAGCATAACTTTGCTAGCATGTGAAATGAGTGCAATGGTGCGCTAGTTTGAACATTCTTTGGCATTGCCCTTCTTTGGGATCGGAATGTAAACTGACCTTTTCCAATCCTGTGGCCACTGTTGAGTTTTCCAAGTTTTCTGGCATATTGAGTGTAGCACTTTTACTGCATCGTCTTTTAGGATTTTGAATAGCTCAGCTGGAATACTGTCGCCTCCACTGGCTTTGTTGTTGCTCAGACTTCCTAAGGCCCATTTGACTTCACATTCCAGGATGTCTGGTTCAAGGTCAGCAACCACCCCATCGTGGTTATCAGGAACGTTAAGCTCTTTCTTGTGTAGTTCTTCTGTGTAATCTTGCCACCTCTTCATAATCTCTTCTGCCTCTGTTAGGTCCCTGCCATTTTGGTCCTTTATCATGCCCATCTTTGCATGAAATGTTTCCTTCATATCCCCAATTTTCTTGAAGAGATCTCTGGTCCTCCCTATTCTATTGTTTTCTTCCAGTTCTTTCCTCTGTTCATTTAAGAAGGCATTCTGATCTCTTCTAGCTAGTCTCTGGAATTCTGCATTCAGTTGGGTGTATCTCTCTCTTTCTCCCTTGCCTTTCACTTCCCTTCTTTCCTCAGCCATTTGTAAAGTTTCCTCAGACAGCCATTTTGCTTTCTTGCATTTCTTTTTCTTTGGGATAATTTTGGTTGCTGCCTCTTGTACAATGTTGCGAATCCCGGTCCATAGTTCTTCAGGCACTGTGTCTATCAGATCTAATTCCTTAAATCTATGTGTCATCTCTACTATATATTCATCAGGGGTATGATTTAGGTCATACCTGACTGGCCTAGTGCTTTTCCCTACTTCAGTTTAAGCCTAAATTTTGCAACCAGAAGCTCATGATCTGAGCCACAGTCAGCTCCTGGTCTAGTTTTTACTGACTGTATAGAGCTTCTCCATCTGTGGCTGCAGAGCACATAGTCAGTCTGATTTCTGTGCTGACCGTCTGGTGATGTCCATGTGCAGAGTCGTCTCTTGGGTTGTTGGAAAAGTGTTTGCTATGACCACCGTATTCTCTTGACAAAATTCTTCCAGCCTGTGCCCTGCTTCATTTTGTACTCCAAGGCCAAACTTGCCTGTTATTCCAGTTATCTTTTGGCTTCCTGCTTTAGCATTCCAGTCCTTCATGATGATACAGTCATCATTTTTTGGTGTTAATTCTAGAAGGTGTTGTAGGCCTTCATAGAACTAGTCAGCTTTCAGCCTTTTCAGTACCAGTGGTTGGAGCATAGACTTGGACTACTGTGATGCTGAATGTTTTACCTTGGTTTCGAACTGAGATCATTCTGTCATTTTGGAGATTGTATCCCAGTACTGCTTTTCCTACTCTTTTATTGACTATGAAGGCTACTCTATTTCTTCTGAGGGATTCTTGCCCACATTAGTATACCCGATGGTCGTCTGAATTAAATTCACCCATTCCTGTCCATTTTAGTTCACTGATTCCTAGGATGTCGATGTTCAGTCTTGTCATCTCTTGTTTGACCACATCCAGCTTGTCTTGATTCATGGATCTTACATTCCAGGTTCCTATGGAGTATAGATCTTTGCAGCATCGGACTCTCCTTTCACCACCAGATGCATCCGCAACTGCGTGTCCTTTCGGCTTTGACCCAGTCGCTTCACTCTTTCTGGCGCTACTAGTACTAGCCCTCTGCTCTTCCCCAGAAGCATATTGGACACCTTCCGACCTGAGGGGCTCATCTTCCAGCGTCGTATCGTTTTGCCCTTTGGTACTGTCCATGGGGTTTTCATGGCAAGGGTACTGGAGTGGGTTGCCATTTCCTTCTCCAGTGCAGCACATTTGTCAGAGCTCTCTGCTATGACTTGTCTATCTTGGGTGGCCCTGCATAACATAGCTTATAGCTTAATTGAGCTACACAAGCCTCTTCACCACGGCAAGGCAATGATCCATGAAGGAGCATGTTTACCTGGGACTTATTTCTGCATAAACATGCATACAGGATGGTATGTGCCAGCGTGCACCCATTCTCTGGGTTTGCCATTTCTCTGCCTCCCTCAAAGCAACAGTTTTATCTAGGAAAGGACCTCTAGTTCTGCAGGAAACATTTTCTCCTCTCCCTGTTTCCCCACATAACCTAAAATGCCACTTTTCATTGCAAAATGGGGGCCGGGGCCAATTCCAGCCTGTCTGAGATCCGAAAATGGCCTTCTGGGTTCTCCAGCAGCTGCCAGAACGTTCCCCCAAGGGCTTGTCCCACATGAAATGTGGCCCTCACTGCTGTGAGCAGGAGCTCACGCCCATGTACCCAAGCGCAAGGCTGGCATAGACTCACAGAGTATGTCCGCCTTTTTCTCAGTGCCAGTGGCAAAGCCTTGGGAAAGGCTCTTGAAATTCTTGAAATCGACAAACGATTGGTGGTTGGGGGAAATGGATGGGCCGGGGAAGGGGCGTGGCCACCTGGGGA